CGCTGCGGCCGCGGCGCCTCGGCCTGGCGGGCTGCCCGCGCCAAAAACGGGGGAGCGAGGGGGAGAGGCAGCGTGTGGGAACATCTGTGTCCCCTTCTGGGCTCCTCAGTACAGGAGAGACTTGGAGCTCCTGGAGCACGGAGGGCATGCGGCAGCCTTGGTGCGGTGGTGTGGCTGCACAAGACATTCCCGCATCTTGGGCAGACACCTGGCCGGGCTGGAGACACACCAGGCAGGAAATATGATAATGTGACGTTTCCAATGCCTTTCACTTCCCAGAGCTCACTTGGCCTGCACCTCGCCCTGAGGTATATGGGTTAATATCTGACAGATGCCACAGCACCAAGCCTGACAGAGTTCAAGAAGCATTTGGACAATACTCTCGGGCACATGGCGTGATTCTTGGGGATGGTCCTGTGAAGGGCCAGGAGCTGGACTTGATGATTCTTGTGGGTTCCTTCCAACTTACAATACTCTGTGATTTTGTGGTATATTGTGATGTATTAGTTAGGAGACAAGGAAGATGACCAGCACAGCAAAAACTTCTCATTCACTCCTTATTTGCGAAGTCTCTGTACTTGTGAAGGGTGCAGGTCGGTGTCTGTGCCAATGAGGAAGTGTCTCCACAAGGCTTCAGTCTGTGCAGGCAAGGCAGGCTGTATCTGCAGGAATGATGGCGGGCTCACCCGCTGAGCCTTAGCCAGCCATGACATTTGCATGGCCACCAAGGTCATTGGTAAAAAGGGCTCCACTTATTTAGCTGTGAAATTACCACTTTTGGCACTGCCATGGGGAGCAGACTGATTCTTATTCCTGTGCAGGCAGTCCCTCAGCACCTTCCTTTTCTGAGGACCCATGTTCATGGAACATGAGGGGAGCACCTCTGGCAGACCTTGGCAGTGCTACTGGTTCAGAGGGAGTCCTGCTGTGAATCAAAGGACTCGTTGGCATACGTACACTGGTCCTCCTCCATCATCCCTGTACATCCTCCTCCACGTCTCTCCTGTACTGAGGAGCCCACTCCCTGCTCTGTGGTCAGTTAACATAAGGAAAAGGAGATAAATTCTACTGAATAGGCTTGGAGACTTATTTCTATTAAATTAATCTCATCCATGGACCGTGTTGGTTTGTGTAGCTTAGAGTGGAGGAGGGCCCCCTTGTCCAATGTTGGTTTTTGAGGTCTTGTTGACATTTGCACCATCTCTCAGTGGGAAAGTGGGGCTCTGGAGAGCCTGAGCCTAGTGCAGCCTCTTACCAGTGACAATGCTCTTAATTTCTGTGCAAACAGCTGATCTGATGTTGACACAGTGGGCTTAGAGAAGTGGGTCTGGAAAAATCATCCAGGGCTCACCTCTTCTCTTCTAAGAAGTGCAAAATGTTTTGTCATGTCCATTGCCTAGTGGGAATGACATGCTCCTGAACAGATGCTTAAAAGGTTAAACAATGAAATACATCTGGAAAAAAGGACTGCATATAGAAGCTACATCATCTTGTGTGATGCATTTAATGTCCTTAATTTACATGCTGACAACTTTACCATTTCTAAACAATGTTATCATTTGTCTTTCTGATAATTAACCAGCACAAGCTTCAAACACTGTTTATCACACTTTGATGCAGCAATTAGACAAGAAAGGCAAAGTGTTGAAGGGAAGGTTTTGGGCTTTTTTTTTTCTTCAAAAGTCTTACACTATTTACAAAGAAGTGCTTTTTCTAACACCATTTTTAGAATTATTCACTCATTCGCAATCAGTCATTGTATAAAAACATCATTCAGAAATAGGTTTTAAAATACACCCACCTCCATTGCATAGTATACAGAAAAATAGGCAAGAGTTAAGACACTTGATTTTTGAATGAGAACGTGAACTGATTCAGAGGTATGACATTTCTGAGGAAGAAAAATAATGAGCTGTAGTTTTCCTGAAGCTAGTGAGCTCCTTAAAGGTCTGCCATCAAATTTTCCTTTTACAGACCAAGTAACTTTTACCATACACAAAATGCTTGCATTAAGGTCAAACAAATCATATTGCAATTGGATTTACCCTTCAGTATTTCCATGTGGACACTGACAAAAATGAGTTACACAAAGTACTCACAAGGATTGGTTTTGTGTGTCATGGGCCATCCATAGAACAACTCAAGGGACCCAATTTGGTATTTTAAATTTCTGTTTGTATGAGAAGTTGAACATACCCTTATACCTTTAGAAACATTTCTTCTCTAAGAAGACCTTGGCTTCTGCTTGCTGATAAGACTTAAAATGGAACATAGTGGAGGGGTTAGCAGGCACTGATGGTGTCTATCCTGATGATTTTCAGGCAAAACTTGGTAATTTGGTTATCTTGTATACTGATTTTTTAAAATTTTTATCTTTTTTCTTCAAAAATCTGCTCCAGTGATTTTATTGAGCCTGGTCCATTAACGAGCAACAGGGAACTCTGAACAATAGGTGCTTGTTTTACAGCTACTGCAAATGCTTCGAAAGCACTAAATTGCCTTTTATACTCAACAGTCTAATAACAAAGCCTGATTTTTTCCATTTTTCTCCCAATTGATTTGATGGTTCACTTGAGCTTTAAAAATACATTACATAAATCTTTACAGCTATTACAGAAGTCTTTTGTCAAGTTTAATTTGGTGTTTGTTTTTTTTCCCCACAGTGTAATCATTCACCCTTAGATGCACTGTACCACACATACCCAGATCGTGCTTGTCTCTGGATCCACAAGAGTAGTAAGTCCTAGAGGTTTGTTTTACATGGGGAGGGACCTCAGTCCTTCCAAAGGCAGTTTCTTGCTGAAAGCTCCTGGTTCAAAACTATATCAGACAAAGTGCTGTGCACTCCCAAAGGCACCTCTGGCAACAGCTCTATCCTCTCCTGCTGTTTAATTTAACTTTGCTGTTACAACTTTGTTTGTGCTTGATGGCCCATCATGGAAATAATCACCAGGATTAGCTGGGAGAGTGGGAGATCTATCAGTGTAGACCTTTCTCCCTGCTGCAGAATAAAGGGAAATGTGCTGATCACCAGGCAGAGGTATAGAGAGCAAAAGCTGGTGGAAGAGCAGTAAGTCTTGAAAAGCCTTCAGAAATTCGTTTGGGTATAAAACATCAAAACGTGATCAGATGATATTATCTTCACCAGGAAGAGCAGAGAGGCTGTTAAATGCCAGGCTTCCTCATCCTATGCTCTCCTCACCCTTGTGTGTCCAGATTTCTATTCATTTTCCCATTGGCTTTGAAGTTGAGGATTTCTTTCACATTTGTCTTTCCCAACCCTCCCCTTTGCTGTGATCTGTGAGGAAAGCCTGGCCCTGGAAATGGGCAGAGCCAGTACTCATGTTGGTGAAAATAAAGGGAAGGCTGAGAGAAGTAGGATGCTCTCACTGCTTTCCTGCTGACCCACCTCTCTCAGCATCATGGTCCCTCAGCAAAGCTCTTGGCTCTTTGAAAGCTGTGTCTGTATAGACAGGGCTTGGCTGGTGCTGTAAGGAGATGGGGCTCTGCTGCTGGTGGAGCTGGAGATGAAGGGCTGAACCAGGATGAACCCAGCTAAATGCAAAGAAGTTGGTCTCCACTCCTGAACTTCTCAGTATGGCGAACCAGGGTGAGGTCCTCAGTGAAAGATGCTGGCGTGAGATGTGTTTGATGCTCAGAGATCCCCATGTGCACCCACCAGAAAACTTCATGAATAGCCAGCCAGGATTCTGCCAGTGCTGTAAATCTAGGTGAGTGACAGCATTGTCCCTGGCTGTGTTTGGAGCAGCACAAAACATGGCTTCATGTTAAAACCATTGTAAATGCAGGATGGGTCAGATTCATGCCTGGTGGAGCACAATGGAGGGGTGGGGGACAGCGCTCTATTAATGAAGCTATTATTCAGAAGAAGAACTTTAAAAAAACAAATGGAGAAGGATGGAGTTGCTGGTGACACTGACTGACACTGTTCAGGGATCACAGTAAGGAGATCTGCCTGGAGAACAGGGAGAGCAGAGCTAATGCCAGGACACAGCTGCTGCACAGGGGGAGTGGTGCCAAGGGGGCTGTGTTTCGGAGCATGCACTCCACCCTGGACCAGGAGCCATTGTTGGGCACTGGCTGTACTCCTGCCAAGTGGCACATGATGTTGTAAACATCCACGGATCTGATGGGAGGCGCTCGGTAGTTGGATCGGAAATCTGCAGGCAAAAGAGAGGAGTTGGCATTATGCAACTTGGGCTCAGTCCCTGCAATGTGGGGTGCTGGGGGGCAAGGGTTCCTTTGCCTTTATTGAGACTTACTCACCAGGCTAGAATGTGGCATGCTATGTAATTTACAATGTGGTTCAGCAAAAATATTTTAAACAATTTTATTCATTATTTTTACTTCTAGACCAATTTTATTCTAAAAACTAAACTAAAAAAACTGAAAAAAGACGTGAAGTTTTAGGTACAGGAGCTACTGTATTGTATGTGCTTGATAGACTTAATAGCCTGACATAATTGTGTTGCACATTCTGCTTTTCACTCCTGTCTGCAGTTGCAGCCTGGTGCTCTGCCCTGTTTAAAGGGCCTGATGAAGTGGAAACCAGGAGTTTTGTGTCTGCCCATCAGACAGGTGCATGAGGTATGCTGCAACCTTCCCAAAGGAAGCGCTATAGTGAGTCTGAATCCCGCAACAAAAGCAGGATTCATGTGTTTCAAATAGAATTGAAAGTTTAGGCCAAAATTTAGGAAAGCAGGGCAAAGAGATAGTAACTGCACTGGGACATCAGGGAGAGGCTGACCAAATCCCTTCACATCTCTCTGACTTGTTTCTTCAGCTATAAAATAGGTGCAGTACAACAAACCCTCCATAGTGAGGAAATCCTGCCATCTATTTGTAATTTTTGGTTGTCGCAGAGTGCTACATCAGGGTCCTGATGTGCCAGGGGCCACAGGGATGCAGGGGTGAGGACCATGGGGCTGCAGGGGAAGTAGAACACCTGGGGTGATGGCATTGTACCTGGTCCATATGCAAGGAAGAAGCCTCTCATGTCCATGAGCTCATTGTCGTAGCCATGCCAGCCATTCTGCCAGGCCTCCTTCTTCCCCGTCCCATTCTCCCAGTAGGGCAGCTTGTCCCTGCTCTGGGTGACAACAGCAAAGAGTGGTTAGTGCCTGCCTGCTGGGCTGTGCTGGGGCACTATGGGGTGCTGTGTTGTGTCTCCATGTGCTGTTCTACCCCATCAGCCCTCCACAATGTGCTGTGACCTGCACAGGAGCTCATCCCCAGGAGGGGCATTGCCATACCTACACCACTCCAAGCCCCGTGGCTTTGCTGTCACAGTGAGTAACCACCTCCCAGCTGGGAGACAAGCACAAAGTACCACAGTCATATGTGACACCTGTCAGCAAGGTGCTGTCCCTCTCCCCATGCCTGCAGCACTGCTCTTCCACCCAGCACCATGCACTTCCCAGTGGGTTTGCTGGGGTGTTGTTCTGCCCCACGTGCCATTGACACCTTAGAAAAATAAGTAATTTTTGCTCTATTTGGCTAGTAAGCCTAACAATACAAATATCACCCTTACTAGATACTTTCTAATTACTATCTCTTCTCCCTACTTGTTTTCATATTAAAACAATGAGGTTTGTTCCAAGGAACACTGGCTCTGACCTGAGACAGTCACACTCTCTGTGGCCTAGATTCTGTTTTATTTCCTTGCTCAGTGGATCTCTGCTTTATTAATTAGTTGTTATAAATCTTGTTCTTTCTAGCCCATATTGCACTTAAGATGCTGTTTTAAATTCCTTCCTTACTTTCTCCTACTTTGTATTAACAGCTCTTACCTATGACAGTGTCATATCTGTCAGAGCAGCAGTCCCTAGGAGCTGATCAAATGCTGGACCAACCTGTCCATGAGTTTGTCCTGTCCCATGCTCCTTAGGGATAGCAGCAGACAGATGTGGTACTCCACATTACCCCAAAACAATGTCAGGAATTTCACTTAAACAAAGAACATGAACTGATAGTTTATCAGACCCATGACATTAATTTCTCTGATAATTACAGAGAAGGAGCTGCAGACAGTCCTCTAGAGTGTCCAGGTCTGGCTTTCACTCAGGCACAGAAGGACAGAAGATGCCCCAGAAGAGTTTCCCACATTCCCACTTTGGGCAAATATTGCTGCAGATCTGCAGATGATGAAGCAGATTAACTGAGGATCCCTTTCCTTTTATAAACAATTATTTTGTCTGATTTTTGTCTTCTTCCTTAAGAAAGAAAATTGATTGTACACTGAGGACAGCAAAAGTGATGACTGAGAGGTGTAGCTCTTCCAACTATTTTCCAGGAGAACCCCCTGTTTCTTCATATGTAATACTCGACAGGTGTACCAGATAATTCCAGAATACTACACAATGCATCAGTTTGGAAGAGATCACAGTGGATCATCTGGTCCAACCTCCCTGCTCAAGCAGGGTTGTCCTAGATCACATTGCATCCAGACAGTTCTTGAACATTTCCAGTGAGAGCGACTCCACAGCTTCTCTAGGTAATCTGTTCCAGATTAAATGAAACTATTTTAGCTACCAATTTTTTTTCCTGTTCCCATCTATTTCCCTGCTCAGAGCAAGCCAAGGAGCAGGCTTCTCATCTTCCTACCATAGTACTTCCTTATGCTGCAGCTTCCAGTGATTCCTGGGGATTAAGTGTGTTGCTTGCCATCAGGCAATATGTACAGCATTAGGAATACTTCAGACAAGTGAAGTCACACTAAATTTGTGATGGTTCTTTGGCAGCATCGTAACATTGCCATACCTACACCACTCCATGGCCCTAGCAGATGTCCTGGATACAGTTGCTTCTCCAGAAATATCAAATGCAGAAGGAGGTAGTGTGCTTTCCATAACCCACTCAGACATCAGGAAACACCTACTCGCAACAGAATGTGCAAAGGCACAGTCATTTCCATCATCTTTGGTGCCAGCTGAGTCAGAAAACATACTGCTGACTTTCATAACTGCAGCTGAAGTGAGAGCTCAGGAAATGGAGACACTAACAGCAGTAGCTTGAGGGACAGGGCTGTTCAAGCATCCCAGCACTGCCCTTCTGGAGCATCAGGCAGTGCCTTACAGCAAACCCCACAAACTCCTGGGGCTTCTTTGGGGCCAGAACACTGGCAGCACACCAATATGCCGGCCTTGCAAGTCCAAATGGGATGGAGAATTTGTCTCATACTCAGAATATGTAAAAATTTTCATACTCAGACTAAGCCTGGGCTAGCAATCCTTGTCAAAGATGAAACAGGCATTTCTGAGACTGTGGACAATGGACTTTTGCCTGAGTGGGCATGTTTAGGAAATGTGCTTCAAGTGATGTCTCAATGCTGGGAAAGTACACTGGGATGGGTACAGAGTGAGCTTGCAGTCCTGAGGGCTAGCACACATCATTGCCCAGAAGAGCAGCCGGGGTATCTTAGGCCGAAAGAATGGGGGCCACTCAGTCATGTGAAGGGAACAAGGTGATACGAGCAGATCAGCTTTGATACAGTGTGAAATCCCTCCTCGCCCTGCTTTAACCAAACTGTAGATGGCCTTTAGTTCCTATGCTCCATGATAAGGAAAACAGCTTTCCAGATACAACCCCTTTGTCTCTTTCAAAAACCACCAACAACAAAATCCCCTTTTTCAAACAGCTTTTAGCTATCCACTAGCCAAGAGAGAGTTAAAAACCCTGGGAGCACGACAGGGAAGAGCTGCACATCCTCTCTTCGGTGGTTTGGGCAGGAAGTATAATAGAAGGCTCAATCATTTCTTTAAAAACATGACAGGAAACTTTCATTTTCATATCCCATTCACAGATAATGAAAATGTACCAAAGAGAAGGAAAATCTGACAGCATTAATGAGAGGACATTCTTGAAAATCAGAAACAATGGGAAGGAATGGGCAGAGAGACAGAAATAATTATCATAGCAGCAGTGTTTGCTGCACTGTTATTAAGGTTTGTCAGAGTTTCAATGATTTTCTAAGTGCTTTTTTATTTTCTACAGAATATGTAAAAATGTTCTGTTTTGAACTTTTGTACAAAAGAGTTTAGTTGTAATATTTTAAAATAATTTTGGAGAAAATGTTTCAGATTCTGATTTTACCTGTCTAAATCTTAACTCTGGCTTTTTATACTTTTTTTTTTTTTTTTTTTTAAATCAGAAATGTGGTACTCACCCAGCTGTATTTAAAAGCCAACAGTTTTTTTTTAGAGGTGCATTTTTATCTAGCTGTAGAAACTATTATGCTAAATTCAGGTTGGGTAGTGAGAAATGTGGTCGTGTGGACTGTGCTGAGCAAAGCTTGGTGAGCAATAGCTCTGAAGGCCATGAAAGAAGATGCTGAGTTACAATAACCTGCAAAGCAACGAAATGCACTGACTATGGTGGGACATGAAAGAAACCCAGGACTTCTTGGTTCTGTTGCCAACTTAAGGTACGTATGGCCTTGGGCAAATCACTTACCACTGCTCAGTTTACCTCCTTAGAAGATACAAAATTATCTCACCCTCTGAGCTGTGCTGAACTGCAATCACTATCTGTAATATGGAGGTGCCCAGTAGTGACAAAGCACAAAATAACAACAATTTATAGTAAGAAAATAAGTTAGTATAAAAAAATCTCTTAATGCCTGGGTTCTCTGCTAAACAAGTTCCCAGGTTTTTGGTGTGTGCGCTGGGCATCTCTGAGGAGTAAATCTCCAGTCTGACCCTTTTGAGACTGGTGGGCTTGGGAGAAATGGGGCATTTTTAGGACAGTCTGATGGGAGGAAAGCCAGGCAGAAGGAAAAGTTGCCACAAGGTACTGCTGAGTGGAGGGATAATAAGGACTTGAAATGGAAATACTCTTTTTGTGCCTGAAATGGAAGTAGATGGCAGGGGGAAGAAGAGTAAGGCAACAAAACTGGAATGTGAAAAACAAGAACTACTGCTTTATGTCAACAGAGAAAAAAGAGGCATCTCGACTGTTTAACTGTCTGCCTTTAGTATAGCTGCAATACCTTTAAGTTCTTTTAAGTACACAAAAGAATTTGACATTAGTTTTGTAGTGAGTCTATTGACTTTAACTCAATGATCAGCAATATATTGTACATTTTCACACTCCTGTCTAAGTATTTTGCTTCTATACTTTACCTCTACTATGAACCATCCTTCTTCAGCCACGAGAGTTAGTGGAGACACAAATTTTCCTTTTTTGTAGAAAAATCTGTTTGGAATATCCTGTATGTTATAAACATCCATGTGTTCCACAGCTTTCAATTTTTGATATATCTGCAAAACAGATGAATGTTAGGACACCATATGGCTGTAAAGATCATAAATACACTCATGGGTACATGTAAACACCTGAACTTGCAAGATGGCTAATTATCAGCACATTAAAACCAAGACTTTGCCTGTCTGAAGATCATGGCTGGACAAAACCTGCTTATGTGGCTTAGGAGATTCTGAAAACTCAGATCATAAAATGCATAGGAATGCATGAATTCATGTATTATATGTATTTATAATACACACATTCACAAATGTATACATGTGAGTGTACTGGCCTACAGAAACAGACCAGGAGAAACCACACCTTCACAGGAGGCAGTGAGTGAAGTGGTGAGACACTCAAAGGCACCATGTGGACTATGTACAGATGTGGAAAAGCAATATCATCTTAAGTGTCTGCCACTCATACCCTGTTTGTGCTCTGGAGTGCAGAATGAATGTCACCTCACCTGTGTTTCTTGCACTTACCCAGTTAATCGCTATCAAGACATTGATAGTGCTCAGTTATCTGCTTCGTTAGTTATCTGATGTGAGATTAATTAGCCAAAGCCTGCAGCTTTGAATCTGCACAATGCCATGCAAGTGGTTTATTAATATTAATCATACTGTCTGGAATATAATCATACAAATTATTCAGAAAATAGATTTTAAATGCCTGAAAAAGATGTTCATATGCCAAAGAGAAGGTAGCTATTGGAGTCTACAGACTCTATATTGTTCTTTAACAAGTTAAATATAAATAATCTTCAGGAATAAATAGCTCAATTCTTCAAAGAATGAAAGGTATTTCACTAGCCTTTCAGCTAAGTCACCCCTGTGTGTGCATATGTGCCAGATATGTGCACTGATGTGCAGTGACCATAAGGACAGCACCAGGGTGTGATGGCACAATTCCTCCCACTGTGATTTGGGCTAGAGAGTGGTCACCAGTATTTTGAAATGGGGTGATTCTTAGAGATGATAACCACTATGTTATAATATCTCCAACTCATAAACATGCTCCTTAAAATTCATTAGAAATAGAGAATCTAGCTATTGGGAAACTGAAAACTGACTTTATTTTGCTTAAAAAGCAGCCCTCCAGTAAGAAATCCTAAAAAGAAATGAAGAAAGGAAACAAAACCATAGTATAAGTCATTGTACTTTATTCTCCTTAGGTATATTAGGCTGTTTAATGAGAGAGAAGCATGTGCTGAAGAGCTTTGTGGGATGAAACCCCATGACTGTGTGAAGTTGCAACTTGCCCTTGTTTGAAAGTCTGGCCTACAAAAACAGGGAGCTCTGAGTTAAGCATATCAGTGCTGTGATCCCCTGTGATGCACTTGTGAGTGAATTGCTCATGCATGCCTCTAAGCCAGCTACCAGTTCTGGCACTTACTTGAAATGTTCACAATATCACAGACACACAATTCCTGAAGAGACCATTTGGGTGCAAAGATCAGCAAATATTCTCTTTTAAAAAATTGCACAAGCTGTAATATACTGTAACTGTATAAAATATAATGTAGAAACCAAAACTATTTGTCTGGGGAATGGCTTTTCCATTTTGTACCTCCACTTACCTATATTCTGAGGACAGCAGTAATGACTTCTCATGCATTGGTTTCTGGTTAGACTATAATGTACTACTCTATTAGTCAGAAAAATTACATTTTCATTCTTTTCCAAGTGATTTCCAAATCTTTTCTCTGTTGTTTTAATTTATCCCTTAAAACCCTGAAGTTCTAGGATTGAGCTTTTACAGTTGACTCAATCCAATATGCTTCATCAAAATTTCCTCCAAGGAAAGTACTGTAAAATAATATTTTTTGCAATTCTGGTCTAATGGAGTTGGTTTCTCAGTGGGAGTTTACTGGAATATGAGTGCCTGAACCTGCTTCAGATAATTTGAAAATCCTAGCTAGAGTGTCAATAAATTGACTAATACATATAAAATTGTAAAAGTGCATTTTGAGCTAAAATCTTTTAGCTATTTATCAGAAGTTAATGGGGGTGGGGTTTAAAAGCTCATGTCCTTGCCATATAACAATGAAAGTTCATGCTTTTTAGTTTTCCTGGTGTGACTTTCCTTTGGAAACCAGCACCACAAGGGTGTCATAGGATCCAAGTCTCACTCCTGATAAGAGCTGATTTTTGCACACATCTCTGAGAGCAGTATTTGGATGTTTAGAGAAAACAGAAGACACAATTGGCATAAAAACAAAGAAAACACAAAGCTGAGAGGTACAACTAGGCTGTACTCACTTCTGCATGCTTCTCTGGAGTTGGCCAGAGGCTCACAACAGGACCTCGGTCCTTCATTTGTATGGTATCACTCATATTGATATGGTTTTTCAGCTCAATCACTTTATCTGTCCAAGAGATGTCTGTCATCCCATGATCAGAGAAGAGGAGGACATTGATGTCATTCTGAAGACCTTTGCTCTGTGAAGAAAGTGCACAACAACTTTTAGGGCCATGTAAGAGCTTTGCACTGTCTGTGCCTGCTGAAAAATTTACCTTTTGACCTCCACTGATTCTGTGGAAGTTAACCAGAAGGATCACATCCATGAACACCCTGCAATGTGTTTTGCCACCACACGTAATGGTGCTCCACTTTTACTTGCTGCTCTGGAAGAGTCTGAGAGGTTCGTGCCAGAGTTTTTCCAAAACAAGGCCACACAGCAATTTTGCTATGATACCATTCTCTTTTCCAAACATGAGCACTTAGCATTAGAGCTTTTAATATTTAGTGAAATTGAAAATACATATTCCTCTCTTCACTGAAACACATAAAAACCCCAACATGCATTTATCATTGTCAGAAATATTCATAGAGTTGCCATTTACCCAAAAGATTTTCTCGCTGCAAAATCATTTCAATAATGCTTGTTTAAAACTAAGTTTAAAGTACAGAGCTCTGGATACTGTCATAAAAACCACTATAAAAGTTAATCGTCTGATTCCACAAACCTTAGGAAACACATAATTTTGATTCCTTTGCCTACAATAAAGTTCAGCTGGTAACACAAGTCATAAACAGAGAAACACGTATATTGGTTTGTGGCTTCCTGGGGCTACTGGTATAAATCCACCAGGAGGGTTATAATGCCATCAATGACAATAATAATCAGGGTAATGGTGCCTTGACTTCCACATGACCTCAGTAGCCTGTTTCTCAGGAAATAAAAATTTACAGCCACTGCATTCAGTTACAGGTATTAAATAGACTCTCAGCAGTGCCACAAAGACCAGTTTTAAAAGCCTTTTCTCTAGGCACCCTGGAGCTGAGTTTATGGATGCCACTCACCTTGATGAGTGAGATCATGTTGCTCAAGGCTTTGTCCACTTCCTTCAGAGCATTCTTCCGCTGCTGGGACGAAGGGCCATAGTGGTGGCCTTCCACATCAATACGCTCGTAGTACACTGCGGCCATCTCAGCACTGTTGTTGCTGGGTGTGGGAGAGAGGGCAAGGAGTGAAAGGCTGACACACATGAAGACCTCCTGGCTGTTGGCATTGTCTTCACTACCATATAGGGCCACAAAACCCCATTTTCTGCTTCCAGCCTGTACAGTCCTACCACCTATTGCGCTGCTGGGCTCATTATTCTGAGACCCAGAGTCTCCAGAGTTTGCCTGAGACTCCCATCAGAAGCAGCAGGTGGAAACTGCCATGTGCAAGCACAGGCTGGCCTGGCAGTCCTCTACTAACCTCTTTGAATTAGGAAGGCTTTAATAACAAAGAAATTCTGATTTCTGTGCTGAATGCCCCTATTAAAAGGATTATGGGAATTACCAGTCAAATGTGCTTTAATTAAAGTTTGGCACTTCTGGCTTTCTCCTGTGTGAGGTCTTCCAAACCACAGAGGTCAACTCAGGATGTGCTCTGCCTTACAAAATACCAAGCACTATGAACTGGGATGAGATTTTAGAAGCGGGTTTTTATTCAGGAACATGAACAAGGGAAAATAAGAATTGCAGAATCTCAGAATTGCACAAGTTTAGGTGATCACACTTTTCTGCACTGATTGCTCTCAGCCTAATTAGTGGGGATAGCGCACACATCAGTGCTTAATTTCATTTTCATGTCCACTTTACTGTTCACTGTAAATCTCTCTGAGAGATGTTGTGTGGATAAAATCACAAACCTATACTCATGAGGTTCAAACCCAGTCTTTTTGTGCTGTACTTAATATATGGCAGAGCATGCCGTCTGTATTACATGTGCTCATCCATATCAAGATCCCTACAAAAAGACTTATTAGTCCAGCATCTCTGATTAAAGACACCTGGGTAGTCTGGTGTAATGAGTGGGACAGAAGAGGCAAAACAGAGGTGAGAGACTGAGTGAATGTATTAGGGTCTGTCATTTGCATTTCTCAGTTGGAAGAAGGAGCAGTCCTGTGAGAACCTGAAGGTACCTGCTGTGGTGGGAATTTCTCCACTTCTGGCCTTGCAGAACAGTGTGGATCCTCACTCTACAAGATTTTAAAATAATTTAAATGAAGCAGCCCTACCCTCTCCCCAGTTTCATTTGAAGCATTGCTCTCCATCTGTATTAGGCATAAATGATTTTCTAAAATTTAACCCTGTAATTTCTCTATTGCATATACAATCATTGACCCTACTGGAACAGTTCTCTTCTGCTGCAGTGCCTGTATTATGAGCTACTTAAACTAATTTATGTCTTCTCACTGGTAA